TTCTGAACTTGAGACCAACATTGTGGCTGTGGAAAGAATAAAAGAATACTCAGAAACCGAAACAGAGGTCAGCTGCCAAGCGTGAAGCTTGGTCACCAGCAAGCAGGGCGTAATTTTCACATGCATATTCACGTTGTCTTTCTTTAGACACTTGAGAGGCAGCTCCCGCTCTGAGAATGCAACCATCTAACCTAAACAAATGTCACGTACTAAACTGCAATCTGTGCTATCACAGCTCCAAAATATTACTGCTGTCAGGCCATATCGGCTCAGCATCTCGTTTTCTGCTCGCGTGAGTGCTTGTAGCATGACAGAGATGGGTCTCGGCGCCGTGATGTTGCCCACGACGTGCATCAAGCGTGTCTGATGCACAGCCCGGGCTGCGTGGATGGTGCTGTGCACAGCTGCAGTTCCCTTATCAAGCTGTGCACACATCTTCAACAGTGTTTCTGTTTAATCAGCTTAGTCCTTGGCTCCCAGGAGAGAAGAGCATCTCCAGGAACGCTGCGCTGTCTCATCCAGAAAAGTCATCCATGTGTCTTCCTTTGCTGCCAAATACATTTTAATGCAGCAGATAGAGCTGTGCTGGAAAATCTGCTGCTCTGAGGACATGTTGGCTTTTCCTAGTCCTCTTGCACAGGAGACTAACAGTAGGGAAATGGGGGAGAAATGGGGCAATGCAAGGAGACCAGCAGTGTTCTGGAGATCAAGTGTTTGATCTACAAGAGCAAAGGAAACCAGACAAGATGCACGATACGTGTTACAAGCCAGAGCTTGAGCTGCCATGGAACAGGCACTGTTCTGTTACAGTTAATGAAAAAATGCTGATTTATATCAGTTGAGGATCTGGCCTTATGTGCTGAGATTCTTTTTTCCTGTAAACTTCACGAAAGAAAATCAAAATGTGTCATGTTTAACAATCTGCTTTTTCCTCCTTTTATGAATTTGTTCGATAACTGAGATTTATCAGCTATATTTCTAGTAACGTTAATGTTTGTACCCAATTTGAATTGATTCTTTTGAGGCTCTGTGTGGCATTTCCGACGACTCTTTTTTCCCCCAGGCTCCGTGGGTGATCGAGGACAAGCGTCCCCCAGCAGACTGGCCGTCCAAGGGCGAGCTGGAGTTTGTGGATTACTCGGTGCGGTACCGGAAAGGTCTGGACCTGGTGCTGCAAGACCTAAACCTCCAAGTGCACGGGGGCGAGAAGGTGGGTTGGCAGCCACGTTCCGTGGCTTTGCTCTTGGGCTCCAATGACAACTGGTGAGTGGAAGGACAGGGACTACAGGCAAACCTGCCCCGGTGGTGACACCTCCTTGGTGCCACTGGAAGCAGCAGCACTGAGCAGAGCGGCACAAATGCAACCACGTGTAGTTGTGCTGATGTCCTCCAGGCTGGAGATGGCAGAACCAGTTGCTTGATGCCATCTGGACTTTGCAAGTTGGCATTGGGCCCCACAGCAATTGCAATGGTGCTTTTCTGAAGTTACGCAGCGGGGAAAAGGGATTCCAGCTTTTGTTTTCCTCTGGCTTTCCCTGTGGAATTTTTGGTGTGGGATTCTCTGCTTCCTTAACCAGGGAGTTGTCTTTGTGGGAGATTCCCTTCTTCATGCCTCAGTTGCAAGCGCTGGGGTGTTTGTGCTGTTAACAGCACAATTATCCTGTAAAAGTCCTCCAGTTAAGAGCTGTTATTAAAAGGGAAGATAATTATCCTTGTGCTACGCATACAGGATGAGAACTGCCTTCTGGAAGGGAGAGAGGCACGTTCACCACAACGTCTCAATTGCCCTCTAAAGAGCCTTATCTCTTGCTGTTGGCTGATTGGTCTCCTAATGTGGATACATCAGTTAATCACTCAAAATTATGTAGCATGGCTCTGGGCCTAGAAGTATATTTATACGCAATGCCATTCAAATTATGGGAATGGCAACACCTATACGATGTAATATACAATACGGGTTTGTAGGGAAGGATGGCTACATCTCTTTTTAGAGCCAGATCTTACACGAAACCTCTCAGAGAAATCCTGAGTTTGGAGGATTTTTTTTTTTTTTTGATTGGTTGGTTATTTCTTAATGATATGTTTTGTTCTTAATTCTGTAATTCGTTTGTAGATCGGAATTGTTGGCAGAACTGGAGCAGGGAAGTCCTCCATGACCCTCTGTCTCTTTAGGATCCTGGAAGCTGTGAAAGGGGAAATTAAAATTGATGGTGTGAAAATTTCGGACATTGGCCTCCACGATCTTCGATCAAAGCTGACAATTATTCCTCAGGTACCTTATGTGTATCACAGTGAATGAAGGAACTCCAGTAGCAAACACTCTGTGTAGCATATTTTCACAGTGGGTAAGATTGGGAGGTGGCCTATCTTCAGTACAGTGGACACATTAAAGCAATAGTTCTTATTTTAATATCTGTACTTAAGACAACTAAAGTGCTTGTCTAACAAAGTTTTCCTGTCCAGGATCCTGTTCTCTTTTCTGGAACGCTGAGGATGAACCTGGATCCCTTTAATAAGTACTCAGATGAAGAAATATGGAAAGCTCTTGAGCTGTCTCACTTGAAGAGGTTTGTCAGCAGTCAGCCCTCCACGTTGGACTATGAATGCTCAGAAGGAGGAGAAAATCTTAGGTGAGGAGTCTGGGGCTTAGCAATATACACCGAGCTTGCATTTAGCCCTAATGTTGGGTACAGGCTAACACTGCAGTCTGTATAATGAATATATACATTAAAGCTCATGCAGTAGTGCTGCAGTGCCTGGAATTAGCTCCAGGGTGACAGACTGGGCTGTTTGCTAAGCACCAGTTTGCTTCTGTTTGGTAACTGGGCGGTTCTGAGCAGTGGAGGCCCAAGGGCTGTAGGGCCTCCGCTCAATGCCCCGTCTCTGCCCGCAGCGTGGGCCAGAGGCAGCTCGTGTGCCTAGCGCGGGCGCTGCTCCGCAAGACCAGAGTCCTGGTCCTGGATGAAGCCACGGCGGCCATCGACCTGGAGACGGATGATTTTATCCAGATGACCATCAGGACGCAGTTTGAAGACTGCACGGTGCTGACCATAGCGCACAGGCTGAACACAATTATGGATTACACGAGGTAAAGCCGGCTCAGCGGTGCACGTGTATGGGCTCACCCTATAATCCTAGACTATCCAGACCTGGTTTTGCTTTTGTTGGCTTAAGACACAGGTTCTATGTTCATTAACCAGGGCTGTACAAGAGATGCTCCCCAGTTGCATTAATATTATTTTTACCCAGCTGTTATTGGGTAAGTTATTTAAAAATATTTTGCAAGCTCTTTTCTCCTGGCTTTGCCATGTTATATTTTCAATTGCAGAGCTCGCAGTCTCACCGGTTTAATTTTTCTGGGTGTTCTGGAGCTTTGTGACTCAAGCTCCGTTTCAGGAATAGCGTCTCTCTCCTCTTGCACTTCATCCGCTGAAAATAACTGAGCAAAACAAAGGCAAGGGACAGCTTAGAACAGAATTTGCTTTGTGATTGGAAAAGGACCCCATATTTCCTGCAAGGAAATTTCCACATTTCTCTGACATGTCTTTCTCCTCACCACCACTTTTTGTTTTGCACAGGGTCCTTGTCCTAGATAAAGGAGCCATCGCTGAATTCGATACGCCTGCCAACCTTATAGCATCAAAGGGTATTTTCTACAGTATGGCCAAAGATGCTGGACTAGCATGATAAGAAGACCACTTGGTGACTTTTTTTAAATATATATATTTTACTGACTTGCCACAGAAGTGACTTGTGAATGTACTGTAATTTACGAAACACTCTTTGTAGTAGACTAAACTTTTGATACGTGAACAAAGTATTTACAACCATAAGGACCAGAAAGTGAATTTTATATTTTTAAAATATTTTCTATATACATATTTTATTAAGTGCTTTTCCCCCAAAGAATGCCAAACATTCTGCCAAGAAAATGTATGTATCACAAGGCACTATGTACTGTATTCTGGTTTATAATTGGTAAATTATAGCAATGGTACAAAACATACCCGTTTTGTGTGTCTTCTATGTAAGGTTTCTTTAGTTTTGAAGTGGGAAGACAGGCACAGTTTAGCATTAACTAAGATGAGAAGAACTGAAATAGGTGTCACCTCTGAGTGGTTCTAACCTGTTTCTTGAAGTTTTCCCCCAGGTTGTGGGAGTTGAAGCTGACCTTTGCAGGCTGTGAGCTACCCCAGGATCTTTGCAACTTCAGGGTCATTACATTCCTCTTCAGCAGAGTGTTTGTGAATAACTTAGTTAAAACTAAACCTATAGAGGTAGCCTAATCTAAATCACTCTCTATGCAATTGCTGCCAACTTAGGAGACTATGCATAAGCCTGTAGATACATGTCCAGCACAAAAACGTTACCCTCTTACTGTGTTTTCTGTGTGAATTCACCATGAACAAGTCTCTACTTGAGCTGAACATGCCTCTGAGCAGATGCCACTGTCACCTCATTCAGTACTTTCCCACTTGAAATCACATGTGACTTGTTTTATAGAAATTACTATCTACCTTATTGCTATTGATAACCAAGCTATCAATAACCTCAGACAAAGTTCCTACACCAGCTGCTATGGGAACCTACCTGGGAAGAAAACATTCCTGTGTTTTTCGTTAAGTAAAGTTCTGACACACTTTGAGAAGACAAAAATAATCATTTATTAAGTTTTACAAATGACACTTAAATAGAAACAAAAATCTGCAGCCAAGCAGTCATTTGAGACTAACAGTTCACATAGCAATGCACCTACTTACAAATTACTGATCAAACACAGTAATGTAGTGATTACACACATCAGATTAATTCAAGTTAGCAAGGTTAATAGTATCTTCTGTTTATAAACTGCATAATATATAAAAATATTTGTCTGAATGCATAGATAGCCATCAGCATCTGTGCAGAACAGTCAAGGAAGTGTCTCAGCCCAAGGGCTGAGCTTTTCTCTGGTAGGTCTGCCTGCTTAATCCATAACAGTTTGGTATCTGTATGGATTAAGCTGGCATTTAGCCAGCTGAAGCCTGAACCATCCCTATTCCATATACCAGGAACAATGCAATAGGAAATCTTATTATTCCATTATTCTGCAGTTAATATGCCACCACTAATTTGGTATAAGAAATAGATACTGCCACCCACTCCGACTGCATTTGCCCTCTCACACTTCGGAAAAGGGGTATTTGGTTGTGATGAAAGGTTTTTACTCATCATAAGGAGACAGAAATTTGATCTGGTTAATTGCTGCATAAGAAATCTGGGTGCTTGCATGGATCTGTGCTTCCCAGTGAACGTGGAAGCACCAGACTAAGGCAGGTTGGGAAAGGGCTCCCTCTTGTGCACTCAGTCACTCCTGCTGAAGCTGGATAAATAATCCTCGCTGCATGAGAAAGAGAGGATAGATAATCGTGGGTTCCTCTTATGTTAGCTGTAATGCAGGTAACTCTCCTGATTGCAGGGGAAGGAGCAGTTTTCTCCTACTGCAGTCTCTAGGAAAGGAGAAAAGGCCCTGGTGGACACCCAACACCGTTCCAAGAAGGTCTAATTTTCTGCTCGAAGAGGGCTAAGAGTTTAAGGTGCAGTTCCCTGCTGGTTTTGGTGGCTCCCTGTTTCCTGCAAATCTCATTGACTAGTCCACAAACATACAGCTACCATGGGCTGTAAATACCATTAGACAACAAGAAGACAAAAGTCCTTTGGTTGCTGTAGTTTCCAAAGAAACTAAAGGGGAAGAGGGGCGCAAGGGAGATAAAGAAATAGAGGGAAACTCAGTCCAGGTCGAGATGTTTTTGGCTCTTACATCTAGGACTTCAGTTATCTGATTCATAGCATGTACTTAAACAGTTATGTTACCAGACTAGATCACTTCTTCAAAAGCTATTGACTTTGTAAATATTAAGATCCTAAAACATGAAATAAAATCTAGCTTAATATTGTATTAATATTTTCAATTTGTTTATTCTTGGGTTTCATAGCCAAGTAGTCTAATTTTGATTTTTTTTATGAACAGGAACAGGAAAAGTGACTTTTCAGTAAATAACAGGTAAATGCAAGTCACCAGGAGGGGGAAAATAGGAAATACACTGCATAGAAACATTAACATTTTAATATCAGCCCAGAAAACCCTCATTTTCTTTTTTCACGGGAAATTTTGAAGTTTCCAGACTGGATTTTTCTCTGGAATGGAGCGCTACATGTTGAACTTTATAATATTTGTCCTATAAAAGGGGAAATTAAAGCAGCATTGGAGAAATCTGTTTTCAATACAGTAACAAAAATAGTATTTTAAATTGCACATGTCAATACTGTATGCTGACAGACAACAATAAAAGGACTTAGGATTTTGGTTGAGAGCATATTTTAGATAATTTTTTGTTTTCCACCTGAGAAAAAGGGAAACAGGTAAATAGGGATTAGGAAATCATAGGTAATAAGTCACTTAGGAATATTAAAACTAGACAGTTTTGTGCTTCTTCCACAGATTTAAACCCTTCTGTATTTTTTCCTACTACATAAGAGATGATGTAAAATACATGAGCTGAAAGGTGAACATGTCAATAGAAATGGAGTCAATACAAATATTAAATGAGTTTTGTGGCAGAGTCTTTAGCATGAGTTTTCTCTGCTATGTTATAGCAAATTATTAAAGCAGTTGAAAATAAGCCTTTCCCTGAGAGCTTCTATAACTCTACAGTATTTTAAGTTTACTTTTTTGTAAGGAAGAGAGTGCTGCATTAACAGATTGTTCTATCAGTACTTTCTTTGCATAAGCTACTTTCATATCAGACTAGTTGCTCCTATATTAAATACAGGCTGTAACTGTGCATAACATCTTCAGTTTCTGTCAAGGTTAACAAAATAGATCTTTTCCACGTCATTAGCCCTTATAGATAATGTTTCAAATACGTCATTTTAAAATGAGAGATACAAATATTGTGTTTTATTCTTCTTTAAGCAATTAGTATGTCAGTTCGGATGCTTTCTTGTTATAACCACTCCGTTCAGAAAGACTTGGAACTCTGAAAAGTAAGTTTCTGTCGCTTACTGTTAGAACGAGCTCCAGTTCTTGGAAATCCTGCAGCCTTGCAACATCTTTGTCCTTTAAATAAATACAGTAAGTTGTTAGGTGATAAAAGATATGTTCGATTTTGCAGAGGCAAATTGAAGTAACAGGCTGACACTAACACACATTATGCATTGCATATACATGACAATTCTTTATAGTAAACTGGGAAGCAGACATCCTGCTGCATATTATTTATTTGGGCATCTTATTCAGCTAGTCACTTAAGTCTATTTTTAGAAGGAATGCAGTCCTTGACAGGGAGTACAAATGATTTGTGGAGTGAGGCTAGTAAAAATCTACTGCATCCCCTTCAGATAATCCATGAGTATACACTCTTCTGAGCCCCTATTCTTTTCTTTTTTTTTTCTTTTCCTCTCTGTTGCTAATTTTTAAAAGGTCATAAAAAGGTCATTTTAAAAAGAATTGATTCTTGGCCTCGCCTCAAGAAGGCCCTGCACACACACCTTCCTCTAGAGCAGCCCCTAAACACCAACCTTGAGCTGGAGAGTGGAGAATCCCTCCCACAGTGGGGGCTCAAGCTCGAGCCCCTCTGCAGCATTAAGTAGAATAAATTCTGTGTCATCTCAGGGGTTACTAAGGGTCACACAATCCTACCAAGAGAATCTGAAGTAATTAAGAGCTGGAGATAAAGAGGGCTTTGAGCAACTGCTCGGTAAGTTGGCCAGATACAGAACTGCTTATTTTCTTGCACTTCTTGACTAACAAAGAGTAAGTCTTCATATATTCAATGAAGATGCAGCACAGAGACGTCTATTAACTTAGTACTAATCAGATTAGCTCCACCATCTGACGCCAACAGGGCTCGGGAGGGATTTGGGAGTGAAAGAGGTCAGTGGTGCCTCAGTAAAACAGGTCAGCGGGTCTGGATGCTGCACAGGGAAATGTCACTGCCCTGAAAAGACACTTACCTTGGCAGACTTTTATTAGGAATATTTTTGAAACTGTTTCTTAGAGTCAAGCTGCTTTTAAAAGAACTGCATGTAGTCCTTACTGAACTAGAAAGGCTCACTTGAATCCTGTAAGCCTATTAAACATCGATGACAGATCACAATGGTATGCACTGCACTGAATTTCACAGTGTAATACAGAACCACATATAAATTGGCCTTGAAGCCAAATGCTTATGAAAGGAGATGCACGAGAAACTTTTTTTATATGGAAGAAAAACCTTAAGTGTTAGGAGTCTAAGGATTTCCTCAGGGACTGCGCAGTGGCCCCAATTCCCAGTGACTAATCATGGCACAGTTAGAATATGAATGAGGCTTAAAAAAAAAAAAAAGTGACTAGTTAATGAACAGTTTCTGTAAACATTGCAGTCAAGTGTTACAGAAGTGGGGCCAGAACATTACCTATCCTCAAGGAATCTGAAACATTAAAAAAAAAGCACAATATAGTATTGAGTGCACGGGGTCATGCATGTCTCAACCTCAAATGAAAAATACACTGGTGGGTCCAGCTAACTGCATGACTCCCCTTCAGCATTTCTCTAAGACAGTGAGCATTACTAAAAAACTAATATTGTCACTTTTTGGGTGGCCTGAGAATCTGGTGATTGAGCACCAAAGTATTCCCCTTTAACAGTAAACTACAAATCTCTTTTAAAAGTTGCTAGATGTAAAAAAAAAAAAAAAAATGAGCTCTTACCTTTCTTAGCACTGTATTTGGCAATTTCCTGATCTTCTCCACGTGTTCAGGGTTAACACCCAGCTCACAGCAACTCACTCGGAGCAGTTCCTTATAGGTCAGTTCTTGTCTGTCCAGTTCAATTTCAATGAAGTCGTTTTCTCTAAGGCTAGGGTTTTGAATTCTAACTTTAAGCACCAGTTCTGTTAGAAATAAAAAAAGTACATAATATGCAGATGTCTAAAAGCACTGAAAATAATATCTTCAGAATAATTTCAGAGTATTTCTGCTTCCTATTAATGTTCTTTGTATCATTTGTAACAATACAAGAATCCTCAGAGAGTAATTCAACCTGGACACACATGACTGAGTTTTTCATTCGACTCACTTTTAACACACATGAAAAAGTCATCCCTACTCTAATTCAGTGTGTGTTTTTATATATGAATCTTTGGAAGAGATTTATATTCTTTACCTGAGGTCCACTATTAACAGTATAAAATGAATAAAACAAATAGTATACTTCAAATACAAAAGTGTATTTGAACACGTTTGTGTATGTGTGAACACTAAGTGTACTTGAAGCATACTATTTAGAGAATTTGATCACCCGTGGTTTTATAGCATTCGAGACCAATAGAAAATGTTTTCACTAATATTCTAATACCAGGAGGTATTAGGACCTGAGTATATATGCCTAATACCTGAGGTATTAGGACCTAGAGGACCTCTAGAAGATAAATATAACAGTGACTATAGTCTGTTTTCCCCATCCAAGATGACAGAAGTTCTGAGGATAGTGAGTTTTACCTTTACCTTGCATACTAAGTGGGAAAGCCCCCGTGAAGAAGACGGGCTGAAATGTGGGCAGGGGCCCAGGACAGCAGCCATTCTGCTGCGGAGGGACCACAGGCTTCGATCCAACGGGAGAAGGGGAACTTCTGCTCCAAGAGGCAGGTGCCTGGTACATCGGGCCATTCTGACTGACGGGTTTGGGGCACGGAGGTGCGGTGCAGCCGCCAGGCAGCGGCGACCTGCTGCCAACCACCTCCGGGGCAGCGTTTTGGAGTAAAGGAGGAAAGGAGGAAGAGGAGTCGCTGTCTGGCAGCTCTGAGGGTGAGATGATTCCGTTCTCCGAGGCGCCTGCAATACTGTCGCTCATGGTGTTATAAACATAGGGGAAGGGTGGGTTAGCCAGGTAATTCGGGATGATTGGCAAAGCTGAATCTTTCGTTGAGTCTGGGAGTTCATCATCTTCCACTGTAAAACAAATGATAAAAAAAAAAAAAAGGCAACAATATTCTCCAAGATTGGCTTTACAGAAAATAATACAGCTATTGCATTGGGTAGCTTATGTTTTGGGGGGGGATGGAGGGTATAAGCATCATAGGGTGAATCAAGTAGCTCTATAGCGCACAACTGTGCTTGGGTGTTGCAATATGGTAAACAAAACCAGAGTTTGATTCAGATGATTCTGGGGATGGTAAATATCCATTTCTCTTCAATCTGTAGCCAGGATTTTGTGCCACAGTCTCTGGCTGTGTAATGCTACCATTTTCATGAGGTACAAGGCAATGAAAAACAAATGGTAATAATGTTGGTCGATATTAAGGCAGGCGATAAAGGGAAAAGAACACAGTTCTGGGAGTACTGAAACATTATGAATCAGTGGAAATAAAACAGGCAAGAGAATCTAAAAGGGAAGAAAGAGGCTATTTTACCATATTTCAACCTGCCTCTCACCTCTAGCAGCAAAGCCTGCTCCACTCTTACCGGGTACAAGACATGACAAAAATGCTCTACCATCGTACTTTATCAAGCCGCTGCTCTAGGATGCTCATTTCAGACACTCAATACAGCGTCTAAACACAACAAAACACCAGGAAAATTAGGTATTACTCATATACTGCAGCTTCATATAAATTTGAGAGATTTTCCTCCATTTGCTGCTTCTGAAAATATCAAGCTGCATCTGTCTGTGATTGGTTTAATACTGTGTTTTTTCAAAATAAAGCTTCTCCATATTTTTTTCCAAGTTTAGGGAAAAAAGGTTGATTATGGGACTATGATATTTGGGTAATACTCTTTTTTCTATATTGTGATTTCTCACTAAATAAAACACTTCATGGATCAAGTCTTGCAAAAAAACAATCACAGGGTCATCGCATATAAAATAATACCAGAGCATAATTGCACTGAACAGTCTTTTACTGTAATTTTTAAAAATTTTATATCACGTGAGCAATAGCTTTACCTCCCAGCATCTTCCGAATCTCCCTCTTGGACGTTAGCTGGACAGGCCGCTCTCCTTTCCTCGTGAGAATCTCCTTGTCGGCCCCCGAATGCAGCAGGTAGGACACCACCTGAGCGTGGTTTCTTTTGCATGCCCAGTGCAAGCAAGTCCTGCACACAGAAAATGTTAACACTCTTTGGAATACACAATTACAGCTCACTCATTTCAATTATTTTCACTGCATGTAGAGATGAACAAAACTTGATGTCTAACATTAAAAAAAATAGTTTTTAATAGCTATGGGGTCCTCAAATTTGCTCCATTTTCGGAGCCTGCGGTGACACCTGCTGATCTGCTTTTCCTTTGCACTAATGCTCTTGATACTGAGTTACCACAGCAGTATTTTCTCGAGATCTTTTTAATTATTTCATGTATTAAGCTATTACTTTTTACTGAAAATAAACAAAAAAAGAAGGCTTATGTCTTAAAAATGCTGAAAGAACATATAATACTTCAAATACTTTTGTGGGTATGTAAGCTAATATAGTGCTTCATGTGGGTGCTTTTTTTCCACTTTAATCAATAGTCAATGTGCACCTTTTGAAAGTAAATGATGTGTAAAATATTCTAGTTCTTTGCTACTCACAGCACTGGCAGGATGGCAATGTTTCCTCTTACAGTTTAAATGAGGAGCCTCTGTTGGATTAGATGTTGTGAGCTATTCAAAGCTTCAGTAGGACTCTACCCATGTGCAAAATTCAGGGCTATTCCAGCAATTTCAGGTCTACAAGCAAACCTTAGTAACAATGAAGATGCTTTCACTGCCATAGTAAAAAAAGACTAGGTTATAACTTCTGACCATAATTGTATTTTTTATTGCTTCTTCCATCAATGCTAGCTTTAGATAGAAGCTCACTTGGATGGCAAGCTGCTGCTTCTCTTGAACATAATTTACTATCTTATGACTCACTTCTCTGGAGTTGTTAATACAACCTGTGATTTTTACTCACAAATCGAACCTAAAGTTGCAAGGCTTGATGCTTCTGCAAACTGCTAGTACAGTTCTTATCTTCAGAGTAACAGCTTCTTTCCTGCTTTTATTCTTCACATGTTGAATAAAAACCTCAAGCACGGTACTGTGTGGTAACTGCAGAGTGAATTATGAAAAACAGGCTCCAAAAATACCTGCCATTTCCTGCAGCTCCTGCTTCGAACAGTAAAAATGTGCATGTGTATTCTGTGCACGTGCGTGTGTGTATAAATATATACATATATATATAGCTTCGCTTGTATAAATGCCTATAAGAACTTGGTTTTAGTGCTGCCAGGTGGTATTTGAATGAGATGTCAAAACTGAAGGTATTCTGGCTATAACACTGAAACAGCCTGCACATTCCCTGCCAAAAAGCGAAAAGTCGTTTCAGAATCGTATTTAAATGTTAACCCAAAATAAGCTTGGTTATAAATTAACGTATCTGGGCAAGCCAGGGTTTGTTTCTGTGATAGACTCTTCACGGTGCTGCTTTAGGCTGCCAGCCCTCCCTGTAGGAAGAATCAAGGATATACATCAATGATGTATAGCAATGATGTACAGCAATGATGTATAGCAACGATGTATAGGAACGATGTATAGCAATGATATACAGCAACGGGGAAGGAGCCGAGGCCAAGGGGGGAGCTCACCAGCCGTTGATGTCATTCTGGGAGTTGAGGTCCACCCCGCGCTCCACGAGCCGCCGCACCTCGTCGGCGTCCCCGAGCGCCGCCGCCTCGCGCAGCCGCTCCTGCAGCTCCCGCTCCTCCGCCATGGCCGGCAGCGCCGGGGCCGCCCGCATGGCGCGCGGGCCGCCGGGAGGCACCGACACGGGCCCACGCACGGGGCGGCCGCCGCGGCCTGCTCGCCAGAACCCTTGCAGGGGGACGCTATTAGCTGTGACAACCCCGGCCTGGATGTTTGGTTCCTACGGGCACGGCGGCTGCGACTTTGCTGGGAGTGGGTTAGTCGCCACGTGCCGCCTTGGCAAGCCTAAGCTCCCAAACTATTTATTTTTATTATGCAGGTGAATTTATAGCACAACGGGTCTCGCGCTCGGTTGCTTACGGTACGAGTCCAGATTGCCCTGTCCAGGAATTCACATCCTTGCCGAGAATCCTTGAGGAAATTAGTTAATACGCTCATAACTCCAAAGCCTCCTGCAAAGCGTTTTGAAAGATTACAGGCAGTTCCTGGGATTCACATGGTTTGCCTTAAAAAAAAAACCCTTGATCACTGTTGATTTGTCCAAAACCAAGCTGCAGAGGAAGAAGAGCTAGTAAAAACTTCATAATTTGAAGTAAAATGAAGTAAAAACTTCATTTTGTGGACAGAAATGATTATTTCTGTCCACAGGTAGATAGGCAGCCAAACCACACCATTTCTGTGCTAATCTCTGTGAGAGCACTCGGGGGAAATGAGGCTGATCACAGGTCAGGTTGGTGCTACTGGAGCAATTAAAGCTGAAATACAGAACAAATCTGACCCCTTTTTCTAAAACCAATTAAATCCACCTTCCATCCTCCCCCCACAAAACAAACAGTGGAATATTAAGATTTAAGACTCATACAAGTTGCATTGATTCCAGCTACACTCCTAATTAGAATAATTTAAATGATTAATTATACCATTATAAAATTGCAAAGACTAGGGGGGGGGAAATGTAGTGTCTTGAAGTGCTGCATGCAGAGGTTTTATATGCATAGTTCTGAAAGGAAGCTCTAAAGACCAGCCATGAATTTGGTGGAAGCTTTTTTTGTTGTACTGGTTTTTATTTTTTATTTTTTATTTTTTTACAGCATCAGCGATAACACAGGCTTCAGACTCTTTACAAATATAAACACAATCAAGTTAAATATTTTTCAGCTAACACTCATACTGCTATTAGTTGCTAATTCTCTTTCTTACTTCTTAGGTACCAGTGATGAAAATAGACTGTTACCACAGGGGAAAATTAAATCCAAGCAAACACAAAATATTAATGTACTAGATTTTTTGGGTACATAAAGATCTGTGAAGCTATATCAAACCCCTGAAAGCACTGAGATAAGTGCACTTACTCATATACAAGTCCTTCCAAGGCCACTAGAACCCTCCTTTTATTACAGGATAAAGCAGCATTATTTTGGTCTTAAAATGAGGCCAATGGGAACGGATATAGCGAAGGAAATACACAGTTGCTCCACTTGTATTAAGAACAGAGACGAATACCTTGATTTGATTTGATTTTAAAATGATCCTTTTAGATCTATTCCGCAACATTTCAGTAGCATCAGAAAGGTCACAGTTCATGCTTTTTACATGTAGAAAAATGCTTGGAATTAATAAGTGATCTATAAGCAGGTAGGGGAAAAACATGGGTTTGTCACAGGTAGACTAACCCACTAAAATAATTAATTTCTTAGCAAGAAAATTGATATAGAGGCTGAGAGCAAAGCTGCATGAGTGCTGTATGCTAAGAACAGATGTACTGACATCGCCCACAGCAATAATATTCCCATCACCAAGTTAAGGGCTGGCAGTACACAAGAATGTCCTATAAAATAGAATTGCAGACATATGAAAACACATACTTGGTAGTTGGCAAATATTGCATTAACTGAGGGGCAAAAGGGGTCTGTGCCAGCCTGATGACAATAAGGAATTTTGTACGCTTTGGACGGTCAAAAGGAAGATAGTCTAAAACCAACAAGGTTAAGTTCAGTAAAGACACGGCTCAAAGACCTATCTGGAAAAGGAAATACACGCAAAGAAATGAGTGGGAACAGCATTAAACCCTGAGGAGTTACACAGAGCGCAAGCGGTGTCTCAGTGCAGCTCCCTGCCAGCTCCGAGGCTGCCAGGAGCGTGAGGAAAAGTGGTACAGAATTGGGCTTGTTTACATAGGAAAACTAAAAAATTAATACAAAAAAAAAATGAGGAGAAATGGGTGTTCAAATACAGGAGGGGTGTTTATAACGTGAAGGCAATTGGTTATCATCCATCACTGACAGGCAGGATAATGAACTAAATTCGAGTGGGGTTTGGGCTGGACACAGAGGATTGTTGCCCGTGTGAGGACAGGGATAGGGATGCAGGCAAGAGCGCGGCCCGGTGCCATCGCTGCCCGCCACGTCTCGCCTTGTCAGGAGGGCCCCGCTCGGCGGCGGCGCCGCCATGCGCGGCGCGGGCCGCGCTCCGCCAGGCCCCTGAGGCGGTTAGGCGGCGCGCGCTGCATTGTGGGCAGGGCGAGGAGCCGCGCCGCCATTTTGTCTCTGTCACTCCCGGCGCGGCTCGGCTCGGCGCTGTGAGGCGGCACTCGGCCAGGACGACACCATGATATCGGCCGCGCAGCTCCTCGATGAGCTTATGGGCCGGGATAGGAACCTGGCCCCGGATGAGAAGCGCAGCAACGTGCGGTGGGACCATGAGAGCGTGAGTGAAGCGGAGCCGCTTCCCCTTGCGTGCCCATCCCCCGCCGCAGGCCCGCGCTTTGTCGGCCCCGCGCGCGGCCTCCTCGCGGGCAGCGAGCGGCCGCCGCGGGCCCGGCGGAGAAAGGGGCTGGCGGAGGGGCCCGCGGGGCGTTAGCGAGGGCAGCAGGCGGGGATCGCGGCGCGGGGAGCCCGCATGGCGGCCGCGGGGCCCGCCGGGCCCGCCCGTGGCGCGGGAACCGCGCGGAGCCTCCGCGCGGGCCGGAGGAACTGGGGGGGCCGCGAGGGAGGAGGGTCCCGCCATGGCTGGGGCGGTGGGAGGGGAGAGGCCTCGTGTTTGGGTGCAGCCCGAGTGGAGAGGCCGCCCCCGGCCGGGCCTGCGGCGCCCGCAGCGGGGGCGGGGGAGGGGGGGCTTCAGTGAACGTCATTGTGTTTTTTGTTTTGTTTTTCTCCTCTGCACGCCAAAATTCCTTGAAGCTTGATGGCTTTGGGGAAGGGAGGTGAGCAGGATTTAGTGGTTTGGAAGGCAGGTTATCTCTAGATCCCTTCCTGTCCATGGCAGTGATGGAGGAAAGGGGGAGGATACTAGTCATTGTATCACAGTGAAGAACCGTAAGACTGAAGATTTTGTGAAGTGAACACTCGATTTCTTCTGTATTTACCCAGACTTTACTTGCTTGCCTTTTTTTTTCCCTCTTGTTGGAGTCTTAAGCCTAAACAGTACTTTGTAGTGTTGGGGTGTTACGTGTGGTGATGACATCCGTCAACTGTGTTAAAGTGCTCAAAAAGAAGATGACTTTCTTCTATCACTCCCTCCCCCGAATTCTAGTGAATATTAACTTCTAGTGACATTCACTGTAGTGATTCTGGAACGTATTTCACATAAAATCAGTTTTAGTAACCATGCTTCCATAGCTTGCTCTCTTAGAACTATTGAAAACTCTGAATCATTCCCCTCCCTGCCATCCACATGTATTTTTGAATGATAAAAAATTGTGGCTAAGGCTGCAGAAAGCATCTAGTTTAAGTGTGTGGTGCTCTAGCTTGTTGTGAAATTTGGGGGCAGGAGGAATGCTTGTTTTTGGCCCTTTTAAAGCTATGACTGAATCACCAAGTTTGGAATTTCCCATTTTCAAACAAGAGCAACTTTATTTTAGAGCTGGCTAAGGCAAGCTTTGATTTGTTTCAGAGTTCAGCCTGTAAGGGCAAATAATTATCTGGCCTTTAACTTTGTGAATCTAAGCAGTTATTAAGTCTCCTTAAAAAAATATTGCTGTATAGGTAAACTGTATATGTCAGGAGAGACTCATGAGCTCAGGATTTTTTGAGTGAAATTCTTAATGTCTTCTCAGACTTTATCAAATAAGATTATTCAGTTACACATTTTCAGTTGCACATTTTCTTTTGAGTTCTGAGTAGAATTAAGTCCTCTGTGCAGGTAGAGGACATGAGGGATTTGTTTTGTTCTGTTTCAAAAATGAAAGTTTTTGCCTCACTGAGTTAAGATGACTTAATCCCTAACATAAAATTAAAAAACAAGATTTTTTAAAAGTGACTAAAACCATAGGGATCTGTCTTTAAGATGCAGTTGGTGTTTTTTTTTTGTTGTTTTTTTTTTTTTTTTTTTTTTTTTTTTTTTTTTTTTTTTTTTTCAGAAACAGTGCCTTGTCTCCCTAGTCCTCCCCATAATGATTTAGAAAGGGGAAAGGTCTCTGTCCCTGTTGAGGCTGGTAGTGACTTTGGAGTTGATACTTTAGCCTATGAACAACTGTAACTGCAGCCTTTCTGAAAGGAATGTTATCATAAATTCCTCTAGTCAGTTAACTAGTTCAAAACAAAAACTTCCTCCCTCTTGAAACACAGAGAAGTATTTTACTTTCAGCTCAAAATTGTGCATCCACTAAAGGTCAAGTTTGTAATACTGATATGTTTAGAAATCAGGAAACGCAAGTATGGTTCAAATAGCAACATTAATTTGCCTGTTTATTGTTTTATTTTTCTGGTTAAACATACCTGCCACGTGTTGTCACTTGTGAAATTACTCATATTTATCAACACAGGGACTTCGATATGAGCCTGTTATGTTCTTGTACCAAAACTCAAGCTTTTCCGGAGTGTCATAAGTCTTAGATGTGGAAGGGTATCAAAACAAGCTAATTTCTGTTTATTGTTTGTAATTTACGTTTAGGTAGATGTCCAAACTTCTGAGTAAGGTAGTGCAAAATAAACAATAGAAGCTGTGGAAGCACAGTGCATATTAACTGAGCATTTATTCACAGTTTTAATGAGAAGCGTAATGACCAGCCTGTATTGTAAAGCCTGTTGTAGAGCTTAAGTTTTTACTTTAAACTTTGACATGAGTTAAGCCTGTAACTATTAAAAAAAAAAAAAAAAAATCTCAGTTATTACTTATTTCTTGCAGTCCTGCAGTATGTTCTGAGGTGATCAGTGTTAGATTTGGCCTAAAGGCATTTTTCTTTCTTTGTATGCAGAAAGAAATACTGATTAGACCTGTATATTTTGATCTGCTTTCTGCCTAGTGTGATATCAATAGGTGAAATATGTTTCTGGAATTGTAGCTTCAGAACTTTGTTGGTTCATATATTCCTTCTTATTATGTCACCTTTTCCCCTCAAAACAAGTTCATATGCAACCAGTGGTACTCTTATTTACCCGTTTCCAGAGTGTCCTGTAGTATAGATAGTCAGCACTTGACTTCCTTGTGCTTTGTAAAGTGTTCCGAAATAGTGATGATTTCCTTCAAGGAAAATAACGTTTTTGTAAAATGCATCTAGTACATATGAATTCCAGAGATTTCAAAGCATTTCTATATCTGAAAAGTTTTCAAGTTTTTGGAACATAGGTTACAAGCTGCTGGTCACTCTTCTTAGCCATTTTTTTCCATGAAGGGCTTGTTTGCATACAAAATTTGCTTATAGAAGTGTATAGTAAACATATACTTCTCTTTCAGTAAAGTATTTTGTACTGCAGGATAGGAGCATATTAATTAAGGTATATTAATAGTATAGAATTATTAAGTTTCTTTACATAGGAAACAGCTAATTAGTTCCCGACTAGAGGAGCTGGCTAGCCTGCTTATTTGTCAGCTGGATTAGTGAATTTGAGATTATGAAAGTTCCAAGTGTGGCTATATTTCTGTCTAGTGTTTTATAAGAGTAACATCCCTCTCTGTCTGAGACATCAGAATAATTTGGGAGAAAAGAATGAGCTTATTTATCTACATATGGAAATGTCCATCCGAAGTTGCCTATCGCTCTGAGAGTATAGAATGTATTTCCATTACTTCAGACTTGGGCTAAGTGGAGAGACTGATAAGCTATGCATGACAGATACTATCTGAAACACATGGCCTCTATTCAGTCCTGTAATGGCTCTTTAGTCCTGCTCTTTAGTGCTGCTTTAGTCCTTTTTTTGCCACTTTCCAGTCTTGCTCATCGCTGACAGTCAAAGACCAACTGTAAATGGGCTGACTACAACTTGTCAAGGCAGATGTACCACAAGGTGAAATTAAATGAGAACGATAACTTTTGGAATAGCTGCAGGAGTCTCTTAAGTAATGCTTTTCTGCAGCAGCAAAATCAATTTAAGAACATGATAGCAGTAAGAGAGAAAAATCTTCTAGGAACAGTGTTTTAAACCATTCTAAATTAAGCATTTATTTGCAGACTGCCTCTTAGGAGAGAAGGGATTCACTACATAACATTGTATTCAGAGCTGGCTGGGAAATTATTGCAACTTCTTAGTGATTTTATAGGGAACGTGATGTACGCAAGCATAAGCTGCCTAGTTTTATGTGTATTATTGTATATGTATTGATGAATGTTCAGCTGTTTCAGCTGCAAGTCAGCTAAGTGGCTTTTCTTATCAGATTTGCTAGCTTAATTTTGTATTTTTCATTGTCATTCATTGTCATTTTACTGTCAGCTTTTGCTGTTGCTGCCCATTGTAAATGCCTTTCCAGTTAACAGCTACACATGAATACTTTCCACAGCTTTAAGAAGCTGTATGATTAAACCGGCCATTTTTGAATCAAAGTGCTGCTAGATTTCTTCATCTAGACAGGTAACACTTCTTAACATGATGAAGAGCCTTTGATTATAGAATATTTTTGTATTAAAGGGGTATTTCCCTCTTGCCAGTGTCTTGCAACTCCTGAGGAGTGGATGTCTGAAGTACAGTGCTAGAATCAAGACAGGGCTATCCAGAGTAAACAACTTCTGACTTGAAATGTCTCAAGTGGAGAGGTTGTCCTGCTCTCTCAAATGAGAGGTGTTAAAAGAAATGAATTCCTTATTTTCCTTGCAAAATTCTTGAATTGACTGTGACTGCTATAACGTTTATAGGAGTTACATTCCCTTGTTTAGAAATTGTTAATTGTTTTCTAGTAGTTGCGTATATTAGAATAGTTGTAAGGACTAGATTGTAACATGTAGTAGTAATTATTGTAACTGATCTATGAAATACATTAAAAATCTGTGTAAATTAAAACATATCAGAAATGTACAGGCTAGTATTTGATTTACTCTTAAGCTGTTTTAGGTTAATGAGAGTCAGCTTCAAGATAATTGTCTAGTGAAGAATTCATTATGTAAGATTGCTTGTGAAATTAGGATATATTTCCAGTTTTATCTTTTTGGTCCTTATGATGTATAAAGAGACAGGAGATTGGTCTGTTCTTGGAGTTAACAAACACAGAACTATTTGATCAGCTAAAATAGTATTCAGGGATCAGGATGAATAACATGGTTAATAAAAGCAATCTTTATATATCAACTAGCTCTTGGATAGGTTTGTTTGTTTACTTTTCCTTCTAATATCCTGGTGGTGTTTTCCTGCTTTTAAATCAGAATCACTATTATAGGGTATATAGAAATGAAGCAGACCCTTTCCAGTTGGCAGGAATTAGGATAAAATGAATATTTTCAGTCTGCTTTGAGATAAACAGCATCTCTCTATGCATTCTACTTAAAACATTGATGTGTTACAATATACAGATGGGAGTATGTGCTCGTAAAATTTCCAGCAAACTTGTAGAATTTTTTTTTTTAATACTCTATTTTCAAGAGATAGAAGTGATTGCCTAAAATGACCAATTCATGAGGAGAAAAATGATGCCTGTTTTTTTTTTCTTATTTTCTTTTCCTCTCTTAGGTTTGTAAATACTACCTTTGTGGCTTTTGCCCAGCTGAATTATTTACAAATACCCGTTCTGATTTAGGTAAGTAAGTAAATTTTGCAATTTTTTATTCACATGTCATCACAATAAAGCTTTTACTTCGTAAACTGCATTCTTACTCTTTTATTCTGTTTTGATGGATGATGATGACGGAGCATGAATATGATGCTCCATGATGATAGAACATAAATATGGCATTCAAGAATGGAAACTTTTTTTGTGTATTTTATTTTTTAGGTCCTTGTGAAAAAATTCATGATGAAAATCTACGTAAGCAGTAAGTATTTGGATTGCTATGTTAGTGCAAAAAAAGGTTTTTAGTACACTTCCGATTTCCTAAAGCAGTGAAAAAGAGAAATTAATTGGTTTATTGATTTGCATAGAAGTTTTATTTAACTTACAATGTTCCGTTAGCATAAACAATAATTTATAACCCTGCAATTTTCACGTCATTTATTTTTGTATGTTAGGTAGTCACATAAACTTTCACTTAAAAATTTCTTCTCCCAGGTATGAGAAGAGCTCTCGTTTTATGAAAGTGGGCTACGAAAGAGACTTCTTACGCTATTTACAGAGCTTGCTTGCAGAAGTAGAACGCAGAATTCGAAGAGGCCATGCTCGCTTGGCGCTGTCACAGAATCAACAGTCTTCAGGGGTGAGTCTAGAAGAATCAAGAAGGCAAATAATTTTTTGTTCTAGATAGCATCTCCATGTTCTCTTCACCTAGTCTCGAGCATACTCTGAGGTAGATGATGGTAGGATCACAAAGATTTAAGAAGGGAAAGAACACCTCTGTACAGGTTTACCAGTTCAGTGCTGTAAGCTACAGACAGCTGTTAATGAAAAATTTCACCCAATTGGGGAAACATTTTTGTGTCTTCACTCCGCTCACTGTTTCTTGTGCCGGGATTGATTTATATTTGTAGCAATGACTGTGGCCTGTACTGTGCAAGTTTCCTGACTGCCAGTGTAGTCATTTTTGTCCCAGTTATTCTGTGCAAACTGCAGATCATTCAGAAGGAGCTGTGGAAAGTGTTCTTTGTTGAAAGCTGTGGCATAGGGCATGTAAATTACCTACTCGGGCAGGGTATGGAGAGGATACTATGAATAAACGCATTTGGAAGAAATGAATCTTCGGGCAAACACTGTGATTATGCTCTGCAGGCTGCTGGACCAGCTGGTAAAAACGAAGAGAAGATTCAAGTGTTAACAGACAAAATTGATGTGCTTCTACAACAGGTAAGATTTACCTGAAGTAACAAGAGATTTCCTTTCATTACTTAACTAAAAGTTATAATAGTTCTTCTTTATTGCTCTTTAGATTGAAGAACTAGGTTCTGAAGGGAAGGTGGAAGAGGCTCAAGGAATGATGAAACTTGTTGAACAGTTAAAAGAAGAGAGAGAATTGCTGAGGTCTACAACTTCAGTAAGTAACGCGTTTGCAGTTCTGTTAGTTTTTGTTCAGAACTTAGTGCCGCAGAACCGTTAATCGCCTTGTCCTTACATTGAAGGCATGAGCGTGTATGCAGAATTTATTAGAAAACAGTGACACTAAGATGTGTTACTCCAGTGTGCAAGTCCACAGACAAATGATAGAATTGTTTATACATATTTATCCTGGATTTTTGCATTTTCTCTTTCAAGTTGCAGTTGCACGTGTTGTATACATACATATGCATACATGTGCACACATGCATATGTATATTTATTTGTTTTTTCTTCTCAATATGTAGAAACTTTTCTGCTGTTTCTCCCTCCTCCCTTCCCTTTTATTTTTTTATACATATATATGTGTATATGTGTGTGTGTGTGTGTGTGTGTATTCTTTCTGTTGTACCTTCTTTCTTGAACATTGACATCTGAAAACTAAAAGTAGCTGGCAACTTCTGTTTATTTTCTGCAGGTATTACTTGTACCACAAGCTTTTCCTCCGCCAGATTTGAATTTCATATTTTACTTTCCAGAATAGCCTAGATGTACTAATTACTGCCTAATGTCAAAAGTTGGGAGGCAGGCTCACTGACTTCAGTAGCTTCAAAAGCTGAAGCAAACATTTTAAGTAGCAAGTTTCTGGCAATGGAAAGGAGCTCATGTTTAAATATGACATCTTAATATTTAAAAATACATTCAAACTTCCTTTTTCTTGCAAAAGCAAGAATGTCTTTTTCATGCTGGATGATTAACGAACATTGCGTAGCAGTGTTTGTTTGGGATTAGCTTGTAATTTCAGTGTGTTCCTATGTCTATCTGCTTCAGCAGTCAACTCCTTTCACCATCGTCCTTTTAAGTAGAAACCTAGTGTTCCGTTTCATGTTTCACTATGGGACATTGTAGGATTTTCATCCTTGAGGCACATTCCATTGTTGTTCTGCGGATGTTTTAGCTGATGTCAGAAAATCATCTTAAGAAGTTGGTTTTTATTTCACTGAATCCTCAGGCCACAAGGAAGCTGCAGATACAGTTAGATTTGCCTTAAACCTTGCTTCTCACGGTAAAAGATTGTTTCCTGCATTTCCTAAGTGACTTCTCAGCAGTCATTTGTGGTTTACCTACAATAAGTAGTTGTGGCCTTTTTATTCCCTGTTCTTTTCAGTAGGTGCTCTTAGGTCAAAGTATGGAGTTAAAAATTTCAGGTTTCAGTAGTGACACTGAATTTAACAGTAAAATTCCAAACATTTTCTTTTTTTCCTCCCCAGAGTCTGGCTAAAATGTGTTTATTTTCTTTTATCTCATACTTCTTTTGCAGACGATTGAGAGCTTTGCAGCCCAAGAAAAGCAGATGGAAGTTTGTGAAGTCTGTGGAGCCTTTTTAATTGTAGGAGATGCACAGTCCAGGGTAGACGACCACTTGATGGGAAAGCAGCACATGGGTTATGCCAAAATAAAAGCAACTGTAGAAGATCTAAAAGTAAGTATATGTTTGGTTATTGAACATGAAAAAATGCTTTGTGCTTTTCTTTGGCAAAAAGGCTAGCTAGACTCTTCTCAAAAACATGAAATATTCAAAAGATAATACATAAATGAGATAGAATCAGATATTGCACTTAGCATTATGCTCGTACTGATGTTTTTTTATCGCATGTGTTATAATAAGATTAAGATCAGGTGGCAGTGTTTCGTGAGCTTAGTGAAAAACTGTCATGTGGTCTGCTTTCTTAAGAAAATTACTTTAACAAGTGCTCTCCAAGACATAGAACCCCAGTTTCATCCTGTTGACCAGGACTGTTCCAAGGGATTTCTGCAAATGCTTACGTAGGCTGTTCTCTGCTTGAGCATTAGGGGGGGAAAAAAACTATTAAGTTTACGTAATAATGAGGATGTGAAAACTTAAGACTTTAAAAAACTTTAGTTATGTTGAATGATTTGCCTTGAATAATATTAATTACTGCACTTCTGTATTTTTAAGGAAAAGTTGCGAAAAAGAACAGAAGAACCTGACCGTGATGAGAGGTTAAAAAAAGAGAAACAAGAGCGAGAAGAGAGAGAGAAAGAGAGGGAACGGGAAAGAGAGGAGCGGGAAAGGAAGAGACGGCGCGAAGAAGAAGAAAAGGAAAAAGAAAGGGCTCGTGATAGAGAGAGGCGTAAAAGGAGTCGTTCTCGTAGTAGACATTCGAGCAGAACGTCTGACAGAAGATGCAGCCGTTCACGAGACCACAAAAGATCAAGAAGCAGAGAAAGAAGGCGAAGCAGGTACGCAAGAAAGTTATTTTCATGTATTTTTTTTCAGAATGTTAAAATGCTGGGAGGAGACTTGGCCTGTCAGTCACATCGCTATTTGGTTGGTTCCACTGTTGGTTTTCTGAACTGTGAGTGTACTTTACTGATTCTAAAGATAAGGAGGTTTTGCTACATGCTCTTTCTTTGTCTGCCTTTCTGGAAGCAGATGAGAAATGTGGCGGAAGCAACTTGAAGTAGACATATGCTCCCAAAACTGAGGTTGTGTGTAACTCCTTTCTCCGCACAAGCACGTTGGACTGTAACTCTCAGCAGCAGCATCTTTTGAACTGTGTGCTTGTATGCTTAAATAAATGAAGGAGGAAAAGTGACGCCACATCTGATGGGCAGAGATATGCTTACATACCATACACTAAGCCTTGTTTTAAATATTTGCTCTTCTGCCGCATAATCCATAGTAGTTTTTGTCTGCTTACTTTGGCAGTATCACCTGACACTTGTGTATTTCAATTTTCCCTAAATGTTAGGAGTCGTGACAGAAGAAGAAGCAGAAGCCATGATAGATCAGAAAGAAAGCACAGGTCTCGCAGTAGGGACAGAAGACGGTCAAAAAGCCGGGATCGAAAATCCTACAAGCACAGAAGCAAAAGCAGAGAAAGAGAACAAGACAGGAAGTCAAAAGAAAAAGGTATGTTTGTATGAATACTGTTCCTATCAAAATCTGTAACTAATCTTCCCTTAAAATCTCAAATGTTCCTAGCCTGTGAGGGACTGAAAGTTCTTAGCATCAATTCAGGACTGATCACATAAGCTGTGTATGCGGCTGTTAACTGATTCAGTTCCCTCCTGTCATTGCTAATGCACACATCCCAGTGTCTGTCGTTTTATTTGTTGCAGTAGTTATTAAAAGTTTACTATTTGGTCTTCAAAGTAAGTGTAGAAGGATTTTGATGTATTTGAATACCAGTTGACTGTTAACCTTTGGAAAAATGTTTACAGTGTAATAATTTTTGCTGTGAGTATCTCCTATTATTAGCACTACTTCTGTTATTACCCTTTGCTCGTTTGTGTTGAGAGATTGATTCCTGGCTGTTCTATAGCACCTGTTACTTCTTTGCGCTATCATATTTGCTTTATTTTCCTTTAACAGTGCCTTAATTGTCCTTAGTTTATAAATAAATACCAAGAAGATAAGTATTGCAGAATTTCTGTAATGTTTTAGGTTACAATTCTGTGCTTTCTGCCCCCCTCCCATTTTTTTTTTTTTCTTCTCTAATCCCCCGCTTGTTTTAAATGAAGTGAGACTTGTTTGTCAGTGTTTAGGTAGGACCTCATATGCTGTTTTTGTCCTTGAGACTTTTATAGCAGTACCTGTCGTGTACAACAAACAGCATTGATAGGCACTTGGTCTTTCTTCAGACCAGTAATCAGATGCTTTACATTTAAGTAGTATTCAAGAGAGCTGCAGAGAGAACAATATAGATTTGTACTCTGTGAAAAGACATTAATATTACTGTCACTGCTAAATTCCTCCTTTTAAAGTCTTAAACTTCTGCATGAGTCTAATGTTGACTTCTGACCTAAGAACTGATGCTTTTGTAGAGGGTACTGAGCAATTTCCAGCAACCTCACCTCGTAATTAGAACTGTCAGTAACGGGGGAAATGATACCTTTATGTTTCTAAGATACTTTTGAGGTTCTCTGGCATGAAAGGTGCTCTGTGCATGTTTCTTGGTTAAGTGAGCCTGTTTGCCCTACCTTTACTTTTTCCATGTTTCTCCAGCAGATTAATTTCCAAGATGTAGGTAATATTCATGTATTTTTCTTGCCTGACTTTCTTGGACTACTTCTGTTTTCTGGTTTATACTGTGGTGCATCTTCAGTGTTGATTCCTCTCTCATTTTGCTTTATCCTTTTAAGGCAAGCTTTTTTTAGTATTATTTATTTTTATTTTTTGCTGCTTGCTCGTTGGCTGTGGCCAACGTGTAGTATTTAAACTCAGACCCAGTATTGTAGCCTGTATCTGTCTGTTGTTACTTTCTTGCTATCTGATATTGTGCCTTTTTTGCCTACTTTATGAATAGGTTTCTGGTCCTCTATTGAGGAATACCTTCTTCTCCATTCTGTGTCTATGGACATAATATAAATAATTGATTTCTACAAATCTGGTCTATTTATTGGGCTTATGGGTTCTTGGTTCTTTCCTGAATCCTTCCATAAATATAGGATCTAGTGAAGTTTCTTCACCACCTAAATATTTTTAGTTCCCACTTGACTATTTCTCTGGTGGACACTTTATTTGCTGCTTGCTACCTTCTCCCTCCAGAAATGAGAACAGTGAGGTGATGCTGTGATCTAGGATGAAACTTACGTGAGAAAATAAGTTAGTTTTTGGCAAAGTAATTATATCTAAAATTATGAATAAGTTTTGGAGCAGGATCGTAATGCTAAGGATATGCTTCTTCCTTCATTTTAAAAGCTGAGGGGGAAAAAAAGGCAGTATTTAGCAAGCAAGCATTGAACACCACATGCCCCTGTAGGCAGTTACGCAAAGAGCTTTAGATACTCACACATTTAAGAAGTGATGTGGGTGCCTACTCGTTTTGCAGAAAGAAGTCTGTGGAAGACACTTAAGTTTACTGCTCCATTGGGCGGCAATATTTATTGCAGAATCTAATTGTCTATATATCTAAGACTGATCTGCAGTTATAAAAAGAAGCTGTAAAGGCCTGGCAGTAACTACTTGTGGTAATGTCTTTCCTCTTGAAATCTCAAACTGCTTTATAAACATGCATCTAATAAACAAGGCCCTGTTGCCTCTAGCTGCCCAAGACTTGCTCCCTGTTACACATTAAATGAATACCATGCTTTGAAATACAGCTCAAGTCCTGGCTTCTTGTTTTCTAAATCCTGTGAAATATAGTGACTTCTAAGACTGTAAGGAGAGAAGGAAAAAAAAAAAAAGTATGTAAAAATGGAGATATTTAATTTCTGAGTCTGATTTCAGGAGTGTAAAAGTACTGTTAACCAATATACGAGTTGAATATTAGCTTAATATGAATCAGCAGTATGCAACTACAATTCAAGTAAACTAAATTATTTTAAAAACTGTTGATTGAAAATGTCTGGTTTGCACATACCCTCATTTCATGGAGGGTTAATACTGAAACCTGCCACCAGGCCACTTTTTCATGGCTCTTTGCTTTCCCTAATCTGGTTTCATATACTTTAATTATATTTGTGTGTGTTCATGATAGTGATGAAACCTCAGCAAGACCTGCCAGAATACCCAAATCCAAAGAGATATTTGAATACTGTGTTTAATATACTCATTTTTGCATTCTCTGAGCAGTATAACCATTTGCATTAACTTGATTGGGATTTTTATAGGACATACCTCAATTGCTCACATATACTCAATCAGAAAAATGTGCATGTGTTTATTATCCAGGAAAAGTCTTATTACTCATTCAATATTATTTGATTATACCTAGTAGATCGCAGCTAAAATAATGTAAGCAGAATGGCAACAGCTAATTTATTGCTTTAGAAGCACATACAATTATTGCTGAATGACTGTATAGCAGAGGAATTTAACTGCCCACAAGTAGCCCAGGAGTTGAAAGAAGTTCCCTTTTCTAGACTCTGTTAACTACTCTCATTTCTACATGGCAAACTCAAGGTTTGCTGGGGTAAAACTGGTTTTTGTTTTTTTCCAATTGAGGTTTTTAGAAGAGTGTCTTCTTTCGTGCCACAGGTTAATAGTAGCCTTTTTAAATCCTCAACCAAATTTTCCCTCCTGCCCAAATGCAAGAAACAAACAAGACAAAAATCCTGCACACTGCACATCCATAGGGCTATTAAGATCTACCATATCTACATAGGACAGAAGATAAGATTATTGGACTGACTACTAGTCCGCTGCGGGGAAACAAGACTACTATTCCTCAGTGGATCCACGTGTGCATCGGAGATACCTATAAGGCACAAAAAGAAGACTTTGTAACAAGGTTAGTTAGAGTGCAATCTACCTGCGGAGTTTTATTAAAAAAAAAAAAAGAAAAGAAAAAAAAAAAAAAAGAAAAAGGCAAAAGCTGAGGGCAAACTCGTAGTTGTGCAGTTAGCTTTTTGGCATCGCTGCGTGCTGTATCCAAGCACTGTGCACTGGATGTGCTGCTTCGGATGAAACCTCAGTGGTCTGTAGGCAGATGTCCTGGTTCCTGTTTGGGGAGCTCTTCCCTTCCCTTTGCTGCTCTGTATCTAAACAGTAAACATGGGTGTCGCTTCTGGATTTGAAGCTGAATTTCTACTTTCTGTCTTCTGAAATATAGAAACGGGTTATGTCAGTCGAGGTGATGTGTTATTTAAAAAAGCTTTTTCAGTGTGTTTGATTTGTGTGCTTTTTGGGGAATTTTTTTTTCTTTGCTCAGATAGCAGGGAATAATCAGAGAAAGAGCGTGAATGTAGTTCTGTATGCCGACATCCAAGAGGTTGGTTTGCTTTTTTCTTTTCCTTACATAGATCTCTCTGCTGATGTTAGGTTGAATACTGGGGTGTGAAATAACATAGGAAGAATTGACATTTTTATGATATATGCAACTACTGAATTTACAGATGAGGCACAGAGCTATAATACTGAATGTTTTCCTTTCCATGGAAATATGTTTCTTCTGGCTTGCTTTCTCCTTTGAAGATTGTTGAGGAAAAGATCATTTTTTTTCAGCGTTGTAACCATCTCTTCAGTCACCAGGCAGCTTTCTAATTCATGATGAAATTGTGTGGGGGGGGTAGTCCTTCCCATCTTACTGTTCTTTTGCCTTTGGAAAACAGTGCTTTTATGTGTCTACCAAACTTTATTTTTCAAGCTTTTTTATGAGTGAATTATAAATGGCTACAATTATTTAACTCTCAATTATAAAATTGAGAGTTAATAATGCTGACAAATGCACCTTTCACAGCTTCTGCTGCGCTCTGTCCCAGTAACGTTCATCTTAGTTGTCTTGATGCCTATCTTTAAAGCTAACTGTGGATAATATTGTTCATTTAATAAGTATTTGATTGTTTGGGGTGATTTTGGTTTTTTTTTCCTTTTTTTTCCCTCAATTTGCTTGCTTTAACTTGCCAAAGATTGATATATTGAAAATGCACTGATTCATTGTCCCATCACTGCTTCCTGAACTGCTTTTCAAGAACCCTATTTAAGTAGAACTGTATACCAAGGATAGCCATACACATGACAAAAGCTTGGGGACAAAGAGTCCTATTATGAGTGAGGAAGCCAATAGCTACACGTCATTTATATATTTGCTTA